GCGTGTGTGTGTGTGAGAGAGAGAGAGAGAGAGAGAGAGAGGGGCTGTGTGTGTGTGTGTGTGTGTGTGTGTGAGAGAGAGAGAGAGAAGGAATGTGCGTGTGTGTGTGTGTGTGTGTTTGAATCAGGGTCTTGCTCTGTCACTTAGGCCATAGTGCAGTGGCATAATCACAGTTCACTGCAGCCTCAGTCTCCCAAAGTGCTAGGATTACAGGCGTGAGCCAGTGCCCGGCCACTTTCTCCCTCCCTAGTATATGAAATACCGTCTAGCACACAGACTATATTAGTTGTTTAATAAATGACTAAATCTTGTGCAATTAATGTTTCCCCAACAGATATGCAAGGCTTTATATTTATGTTCCTATTCTATCTCAGATGAAATAGAAAAGCTGTAGTAAAACAACAGATGGCAACTCACTACACAAATCTATAAATTTTAGTCAATTCCATTTTTTAGAAAGTACTGTGACTTTTTTCAGAGCTAGATGAAGTTATTCTAAAAGTTATAAGGAAAACTAAATACACAAGAATAGCCATGAAAACTCTGAAGAAGAGTACTGTATGTATGTATGGGGGAACTTGTTCCCCAAAGTATTAAAGCAACTATAAAGCTACAACAATTAAGACAATGCAGTTCTGACACATGAATAGGCAGGTGTTGATTAAATAAACAAGACAGCTGGCAGCAGACATTCTTACTGTGGTCCTGCCCCTTGTGCCCTTCACAATGTATCTTTCCTTTAATAAATCTTTCTTGAGGGCCCAAACTTGACTGTATGATGACCACTGGCATACCTAATCCTGAATTGTACCCTACATCTTTAAAATAAAACAAATTCTAAAAATAAATAAATAATTCATTGGAGGCTATAAAGTCGTATTTTAATTCTACCATGTCTTCCTAATTTATTTACTGGAATTTTTTTTATTTTTTTTCAATTCTCACTGTCGCTCAGGTTGGAGCGCAGTGGCACATTCATGGCCACCACAGCCTCAACCTACTGGGTTCAGGCCAGCCTTCTACGTAGTTGGAACTACAGGCACGCATCACCATGCCTGACTAATTTTTTGATTTATTGTAGAGATGAGGTCTTGCCAAGTTGCCCAAGCTGATCTAGAACTCCTGGGTTCAGGCAATCT